CACAATAACTTTGAAATTGTCTGTTAGATATATTGTGTGTAAATATACAGAGTGTCCCAAATTCGTACGGTTAAAACAAAAACATGCAGCTAATAAATAATTCCGGACACAGCTACATAAATAAAGACCCCTTGAAATCTTGCCCTGGATTGGACTTTATGAAAAACCGTAATGGCAAAATGAGAATTGTGGGAACTAAGCACATAAGAGAAGTAGGTTTATAAAACATATATAAATATGAGAAAGGAGGAATATGGGTTACATTTCTGTCGGGTGTTTGCACAATCATACATGTGTGACTTTGTTTTTTCTAAATAAAAATAAATAAATATTGGGAAGGTCACAAGGAGCACGTGGTAAGTAAATATACGATCAACTTGTTCAGGCGACGTAAATATATTGAATGTGGAAAACGACTTATTCTAAAAATAAGATGCTTATATTAATAAAATGAAATGCATATATGAATACAACAATATCTTTCGTGCCTATTTAAGCGTAAGCGGATATCAACGTATCATTATAAATTTTCCTGAGATAGCATATATATTAAGAATACCTTTTTTGGAATGGCCGTAAATTGTCCACAAAACGATTTAGTTAATGAAACGGCTTGAGTTGACGTATCAGAGATTAATTAACTCTAATAATTTTCTTAATTTTCATAGAATGGACTAAACAAATAACACATTTTTTCTAATGGCACTTTTCTCATTTTTTCCACCAAAAAACGTTGTCGTATGGCCATGACATTCAATTATAAAGCGAATAGAACTACTAAATCTATATAACAAAAAGTAGATCGTTGATATCAAACAATAAAAAAGATTTTCGGTAGGTGGCAAGTTCTTAAACAAAATGCGCTGTATACAAAACACAAATTGTCTACTGAAAAGTATAAAATGTTGAGAAGACAACGTCAAAATTACTGTCAAGTTCGAGTAGCAACTTCACAAATAAGAAAAATACGCATTGAAGTCAAAGAGTCCGTTCTGTTACCTTTGAAGAAGACAGGAATTTATAGTATTCTATCTGGTATCCACGCATAAAACTAATGAATGTAGAAAAGTATATCATGTCACTTCACTATAACGTTACATTACCCATCGGCATGGCATAAAACTCCACCGGGACAGGTCAGAGGGTGCTTCCCACTGCGATTTGACCTAGTTCCATTCAACTCTAAGTTCAGCGGGTGAACGAAGCTGTAACCTACGTTCCGTAAACAAACCCATACCGCACTGGATAGCCGTATAAACGGTATGTCTGATTAGAAATTGCATAAATTTCTCAGCCGATGACGTCTGGCCTGTGTTAATTTTGAATGGCGTTTGTCGCGGTTGACACAGATATTAAAAATTTCTTGATTCGTTTGAATGTAACCTTATGTTAAATTCGATATTCAGTAACAAACGAATCTAGAAAACGCTGTTGGAATCGGTTACGTCTTTTTATATTTTTTCATGTCACTAACATTTCGCAGTTAACAATAAATAAGAAAGTTTGACACAAACATTTCTATAGGCACAGAATTTTAAACAGGATTGTGATAAATTTTTTCACATTATGTATACACTGTTTTTTACTACAAACAGAGAAATAAATAGGACCGTAGGTATTATTTAAGTCCACTGCAATAAAAGTAACACATTTTTCTGTTAAAATAAGCTAAAAATACATTCTATATATTTTAATTGTGACAGTTTCTTGCACAAAATAGAGGACCGCAATAATATAATAATTATTGCAGGATACAATTTATTTTATAATAATAATTTTTTTATTCTAAATTCAAAGACACCTTCGCTGTAGTTTTCTTGTACTTAATGACAGTAACAGTAATTTATTTTATAATAGAATTAGCTTCTATATTTATCGCTAATCTTTTTTTATTGCGTGGTCGTGCTGTACATTCAATAGGCATTCAAAAGTACTTAGTAGAGCTATTAATATCGACACGTGTACAGCCTCCTTAAAATATTCCGGGACATTGTCGATTCTGTTTTTAATTAATTTTCTGTATTAACTAAATCCCTTTTGTTTGGAAATTACAATGCCAGTCCGATAAAGGAACAAAAGACTTCGGTGAACTTATCGGGATTCGACCAATATAAGGCAAAAGTTGTCAATTGTTAAGTCAATTGGTGGAAAATATAAACCTACAACGAAAAGTTTGTATACTGTTTTCTGACCTCAATTTTGTTAAAAGTAGATGTACCGTATTTTTTAAAGAAATCAATGAGAAAAACACATTATACACAGACACTCTCAAAATATTGCGTTAGTAACACTTTACGAGTATTAATTTCTGATAGACATTGATCTTTTATTTGTTTTTATCCAAATATCTGGGAAACGCTTTACACCAATTTGAAACAGGAGTCCTTTTCATTTAAAATTATCAAAGTTTCCCGAATTTTCCAGAAGAATTTTCGTCAAGACCTCTTCCGAATCGCGCATACAGTAATTTCATTTCAACAATGTTCAATGTGTTTCAATATTTCTCTTAAGCAGAACTTTTCCTTTTCCGCTGACAGCTGTTACCAGTCTCCAAAGATATTACTACCTACTGTTAAATTGACATTCTGAATAGAACTTTATGTGGACAGGGTACTTTATTTGCTGCTAAAGGGGTATGCTAAAGAAACAGTTTGTAGACAGGCTATTAGTCCAGAGAACCAAGGGTATAAACTTGGGCTGCAAGTAGGAAATAGCTCAAGAAACAAAAGTTATATAGTGCCGATGAGCGCTTTTGTCCAGGGGGTGGAAAATAAAATATTGAAAATAACCCCAGGAATCGATAAAGCAATCAGTTTTAAGCAAAAAGTATCTTATGAACATTTTTCGATAAGTCAATATTTTGGTGATTGAAAATGTACATTTTTTATAAAGAAAAAGGCGTTTTTCAGTTGTTTTTCTCGAATAACTCGGAAAATAGACATTCTATGAAAAGAAAAATCACGAAGAAAATGGAGATATATAAAAAGAAAAAGATTGTTTTTTTTTTTCATTTATGTAGGTGCAATAGGCGCTGAGATACGGCTGACTGAAAATAATTTCATCACCGCCAGAAACAGAACATTTTTGAATACTTTAAAAAATCATTAAAATGAACTTGACTTTAAGTCATTAGCATAAAAATTAACAGAGTTATGATCAAAATAAAACTGTTAAGTCGATTTTTCGAAAAAAAAATCAGTTAAAAAACTGATTAATTTTTCACGAGATTTAAAATTAAAGGCAATCCCTCTACAATTTACATTTTTTATGTGCTAACAATAGATTATACAAGTTTAAGCGGTTTAGAATGCATATTTTTGAAAATATTACGATTTGTTGAAAAACAAAATTTTCAATTCCAAAAAAAATTACATATTTTTGAAAATAACTTTAAAAATAAAAAATATACGAAAAATATTCAAGAGTACAAAAGAAGATCCTACCTATAATATAAGTACATTTAAAAAAATCATAAAAATATTGTAATTTCTTCACTTTTTTTTGTTGTGTTTGCTATATTTGCAATAATTATGTTGTATTTTTTTAAATAGGTATATCATTTGTAAAATTCAATTACGAAACTATTTTTCCTCTTCAGTTTTTCTCTAAAATAAATAGTTTTTGAACTGTGTTGAAAAAAAGAGAAAAAAATTGAATTTTTTCCAATTTTTTCACTATTTGTTTAATAATAAGTTTAGCACACGTCTTGAAACACGCGCATAGTAAAATTATGTATTGTTATATCATTTTGGAGCCATTAAAACAACAATTAGCGATACTATATAAAACATCCATGCATGGGTGTTTTGAAACAGATCCCGCCTGGTCTAATTGGTATTGTTGCAGCATCCAAAACTTATTTTTGAATTTATTTTGATTACTGGTAGTTTGAAAAATATTTTAAATGTTTATGCATCAATTAATCTTTGCAAATATATAATAACTGACAATACCTAAGCATATCATCTCTAATTTATAGGCTAACAATTACATCAACAGGATTCTGCAACAGCCAGCTCCTGCAGGATTGATTACAGATTACAGTTCTTAGACGACCTCGATTACTAGGTCAGTTCTGACGTATTTTGCATAGTTGTTTAGGGTGGACGACCTCACTGCACACAGCTCTGTGACGTCATGTTTTAGAGCCAAGACAGGGCCGTTCCGATGCAAATGACAATAACAGATGTCGTGTATGGGGTGTAAGCACCTAGATGCATGTGATGTCTGCCACTGACAACTGATAAGGATCGATATGCCATTTTTCAGGATCCGTTATCTCTGTAGACGCATTCAATTAATGATGCATGATGGGCTTGTTCAATCGATGGCACAGTCTTGATTACATTCAGTTGTTAACTTCGAATGTTTGTTAAATATCTGGCCAACTTTCTTAAGACAAAATAATATTTTTAAGGTAAAATGTCATGTTCGGCGACCTGTTCCTAATGGGTTCAACGTCCCTACAAGGCCAATGTCGCGGTGTATGTGCACGTAGGCCGGGATAATCTGCTAGTTCATCCATATTAATTCGAGCAGCACCTCAAGGAACACCACGTTTGTCCCCAAGGGATGTTATATTACCCCACTTAAGAGGTCAGGATTTGTCAGACAGACCTTTCGACGGATCCTCTTCGTCCCACAACGAGATATCAAAGCGAGTTTAGACGAGGTTCATTGAATGTCAGACGGGGATTTGCCCAACCCACATTCGAAGGATTTTATCAAGAAAAAAATTGTGAGTGAACGTGATTCAGAATTGTCTGCATAGAAGGAGAAAATTGAATGAGAAATTGCTCTGCTTTAGTAGTAGACTGATTTATTCTTTTCGGTAATTTCTGATAAAGCTACTGCTATTGCTCTCTTATTCTAACAAAATTTCTGAGAAAATGGACTGTCTATTTATACATACAGGGTGTCTGGTAAGTATATGGCATACTCTTGGGAGTATACAGGGGAGGACCAAATAATCCTAGTTTGTCAAAAAAAAAGAATCCTTGTAAGGTGTAGAGTACCAGATCTAAATCTACTGGAGTGGATTAAAAAATAAACTCCAGAACCTATTTAAGTCTATTGGTACATATTTTATTATTTATTAATATATTCATTTATCGGTATTCATATCAAAGTTAAGGCATTTTAAGGGAAAGTATAGCTATAAAAGCTGTGCTGCACTAAAATCAGTTCTGTTGAATATATACACTTGCTCGTAAGGACTCTTGACAGAGATACCCGTATACCTAGGATTATAGTTATATATCAAACTCTTCTTCTCCAGTTCTTCGCTGGGGAAAGTATTATTGTTCTTTTTGGATTCTTCTACAAAGAAACTAGCGAAATACAACGACACGTCTACAGCTTCTTTAGAGTGTGGGACACCCTTTTTCTCAAACTCGAAAGGGTTCTTCTCCGGGTGGAACTGTACTCCGTATATGGGATAATTCACGGATTCCATGGCTGAAATAAATTTGAGTTTGTTGACGTCTTCGTTGGTGGCCAATATCTGCCAGTCGTTGAGAATGCCATTTTTCTTCAGAACCGTTTGGGTCAAGCAATACCGGTGTTCGTTGAACGTGAGGTTCTGGGAAGAAAGCAACTCTAATATATTCTTCGGGGCGTTCGAGAACAGTCTGCTTTTGCTAGAGGCTGCAATCAAACACATTGATTTGTGAAGACTTAAGCGAACATAAAAAATTATTCAGATTCCTGATTACCTAACAACAACAACAACTACTACTACTATTGTTGCTAATTCAATTTGAGGCACTTACTTTTTTTAAAATTCAGGGGCACGGAAGTATTTTTCAACAGACAGTCGACACGAATGTCTACCCCAAGTTGAGCAAAAGGCAGGACTTGCATGCCTAAACAACACCCCCATATGGGATAATAGATGCCTTTTTTATTGGCCTCCAACGCTATTTGATAGATTTGTTTCGCCGCTTTGCCATAGCCTTTCGTTTCGTTAAAATAGGTACCACCACCGGGAAACAGTATTCTACAAAAGAAAAATTATTAAATTTTGTAAGTTTCTATTCAAGTATAAAGCACGTTAGAGTATTTCCTTACTTTATTTGAAAGGTGTTAAGTTAATTATCAAAAACAAATTTCAAAATTTTCTCTATGTGGTAATGAATAGTCTTTGTCAATACTATTTAATAGGACGTAGTGGAAATATCGCTTACCCATTAGTATAATTTATTACTCTTCTATAATATTCCTCGGACTGTCCAATCCTATTAACAGAAGTAGAGAAATTGTTAATATATTACATTATTATATGAAACTACTATAACATAATGTCTACAAAATAAGCGAAAACCATTTAGTATAAATGAAAATTGTTGAAACCAAAAACACAACTAGAGTTATTATGAAATTAAATTGATAATTACCTAATATTTTATAGTCATTCACAATCTTTAGTTACATTTAGCGACTTTTAACTGTATTAATCCTTGAATTTCATTAAAGCTACATTAGCAATGCGATTGAACAAGGTTTTATGACTGTATTTTATGATACAAAGTCGTCTGTAAAACTCTCCGATTTTTTTTTGAATGTCATTACTGTTACTATTTAATATGCTTTAAATGGCAAATAAATTATGATTAATTAGCAATACATTTCATGTTAACGCATATATTACATTGTGTATCCGTCGCCCCAGTATCTTTAGAAAATATTTACTTTTCCCTTGAATAACTAAATATTATATTCCGATAGAACACTGTAATCAAAGCATTGTAAACAACAACAAACGTCGTTATTAGTAATGTAATGCTGAACATCACTCGATGGTCGAAAATGAGCAAACTATTTACCAATATGCATTAATTAGGTGTAATTACTGCGATATTTTCTACATTGTAGAAGAAGAATGATTAAATGCGTTCGATATACGAGGTCTGTACAGAAAATAACCGAATTTTTTCAATTACGTGCTAACTAAATTTTTTAAATGTACGATTTTCTGGAACAATGCTGCAACGTAAAATTTGAGGAAAATTGAAGAAAACTTTCACGGAAACGTTCCAACTTTTTACACAAGCTTACGGAGTTGGAGCTCTGGGTCGTACCCAATATTACCAAAGTTTACAGAATAAATATTCTGTAAACTTTGATATTACGAACGATTTTCTCGATTTAAAAGTGGTCGTCAATCAATTGAAAGTGATACTCGACCGGGAAATTTTGGCTGAAAAATTGAACATGCATCCAGATTTGCTGCAAGCATGCAAGATTTGTTCCTCGCTTGATGACTGAACAACAAAAAGAAAATCATGGGGACATTCTAGGTAATACAATTTATTTAAATTTTCAGTCTATTCAACATCTCATTTGTCTAATGTATACAAAGTGCTTATTTGTTTATGTTTATCATTGTGATTTATGTGATAATAAAACATTACCAGACTGGAACAACTCGACCTCCCGCACTTTCTATATATTTAACGTACGAAGCAGTGATGTAGCTGTCATAGTGTTCAGGAAATAAATGCTGCACGATGTAAGTTTCTTCCGAGAGTATTCCAATTATTGGTGTATCTATACCATAATTTACACTCGCGTACGATAAGAGGATGACTACAATTTTAAACATCGCGTATGGGATTTGGCCGACGACTGCTTGGCATAACGTTGTGCAGCAAATGATTATAAATTATCTTATTATTCAGCGTATATCAGTGACATTTGACTTAACAATATTAATAAAATATTTACGTGACCTGGAAGTGTTCGTTTACAACATTTCTATATCTTTGTTATATGATATATTAATTTTGGGATCTAGCAAACTATATGAGATACAAAACGGTCAAATGAAAAAAGTTTTAAATAATATCTCATCGCTTTTATTTCTCTTAATTTCTCTGGCGTAATTTTTGACGTGCATTTTTTTACATTGTATGCTTTTAGTATCATTTTTCGCGCATTTTGTTATCTAAGACTACACTGACTCGTATAACTCTCACTATTTGATGGCACTGATGAACTAAACTTAATATAACTACGTCCAAACCAAATCAAATCTGTAACTTAACGAAAAAAATCCAACTCCTCATTTTCTTATTATGCCCGTATGGAAGAAAAACAAGCGATAATTATAACCGGTCTCGTTATATTGATAGATTGCGTGGTGACACATGACACATAATAACATCATCTTATGTCTGTCTTAAGTCGGTAAACAAGATCCAGAATAAGATAGTGATGAACTTCGGGACCCTGAACGTAGTCGGGTGAAAGACCTAGACCTTGAGTTTCGTAATTATGACTCCTCTGCGAATGTCAAGTTTCGCCGGCTTGTAGACCTGGAAAAGCGACTAATTACCAAATGATAATATTAATATAGTCTTAATTACATATTTTTCGAGTCGCTTAACATTGTGTAACGAAGCAGCTCGCTTGGGAAAACACAATTTCGCCAACGTTAATTTACGAAAATGGTCCAGAGGGTTTTGACCTTTTATTTTCTTTATTTATTACCACTAACTCGATTTCAAGGGCAAAGCCTTCATCTCAAACATTTAAAGCGATTTTGTCAACTTTTTCTCAGAGCCTAGTTGCTTGCAATGTGATAATGTCCAGTGCATGCCATCGTCGATGACTTCCGGTCACAATGCCCTTCAACTTTAAAACATCCTTCCTACATCTGCAAACATGGTTGCAGATGACCTTCTATAACTATGATCCGTATACGTCTGTGGAATAAACAACCAAGATATCACTACGCGTCTATGGGTATACAGGGTGGTCCAATTAAAACAGTCCACCTGAAATATTTTCAATGCAACAGGTTTTTCCGGAAAACCCCGCAACAGGTCGATTTTGCTTTCAAGGGGGATCTTTTTATCATAAATTCATGGTGTCGGTGAAATAAATCGAACAAAAAGACTTGAAATAGTAATAAAAAAACTCACCGGATAATGAAACTGTGAAAAATGAGGTTTATCATCGAAGTCTTGATAAGGTCATGGGTTTTATTAGAATTTTACATGTAGTTTTTCAAATTATCATGGTTTACACCACTGCAGAGGGAATTGAAATTGTCACTCTCTATTTTTGAAATAATGAAATGGCCCGGGTAACTGCAAGAATTTGTGGAGATTCTTGAAAACGACGATCAGAGCCCAGAGAATGATATTTTTTCAACAGGATGGCGCTCCGCCACACTACGCAGCTGCTGTACGTGACTTTTTGAATCAACATTTTCACTGAATGGCCCCCAAGATTGCCTGATTTAAAACCAATGGACTTTTTCTTATGGAGTCATTTAAAAACTGTTATTTATAAAACGAAACCTACCTCTTTAGAAGACCTTCATCGCCGAATATATTGAACAAAGGTTTTATTACTGTATGGAAATAAATGAGTCGCAATTTGAATACTTAATTAATTAAAATTTGTTTGAAAACTTTAATTTTGTATTTGTTGTTGCAATGCAAATATTTCAGCAAAGTTAACATCCGCGGCCATTTTGTTTGGACTTCATTTGTTTTTCGAAAAATTCATAAAAAATCGTGCAACTTTTGTATCTCACATTTTTTTATAACTTTAAAAACAAAAAAGTTAACGGAGGAGTAAAAATATAGTGAATCACCCTGTACACAGATTCATTTTAATTAAAAACTCATCTACTTCATTTATAATCACTATAACAAATTTTTAACTTGATATTTTAATTCAAACTTAACTTTCACCAATTCTCTCTATTAGGAAACTGTCATGGCCAGTCTAAATATGACAATTTTTTCATCGGCTGACATATTCCAGTACCTTATGCAAACAGATATTTCGCAGGGAATATTTCACCTAAATAAGTTTAGACAGAGTTTCGATTATAAAGCATATTATGTAAATTAAAACGTTGTTCACTGTAATCTCATAAACACCATTACAATTATGAATATTGCTTTTATTGAAAAAAATGTAGTCATTATTTAGGAAATATTCGGTTAATTAGCTGCTCACAGAAATGACTGAACAGCTTTGGAAAATGAAAGCATCAAACTCGATTCACCTTTCAGTATACGTTGGCCTTAGTATATTGAAGAATAATTAATTAACAGGAAGAACCGCATGCTTTGTCGTTACCCAACACGTGCTTCAGTGTAAATTTGGAATCTCTATTTATATAAAGCAATTGAGTGGGCGATAAAACATCTGTCTTGATGGGAGTATTTAAAAGTTATTAACCACAAAGTAACTGTCGAAAGAAGTAATTAACATGAAAATTAAGGTATAAGAGGCTTTCATTGGAAAAATGTATTGCTCGTTATATCTACAGCAACAAAAAAACTTATAATAATAATAATAATATCTACTGAAATGCTTCTTATTGAGTGTGTTTATAATTTAGATTATATTCCAAGGATTAATCTTCTTAGTGTACATTCAAAACATTTTGCATTATTGAGAAAAGCAACAGGTAAATTTTAAATCGATGGATTTTATAAAAATGCGTATATACTTTTCCACAAATCCAGATTAAGAAATTGACAATTGAAATAGGAATTCCCTAAAACACTTTTAGTAGAAATTTTTAAAGTGATGTTAAGGATATGGGTATCCTTGAAACTTTTTTAATAGCTCGTTTTGAGAACAAAATACAGGACTTTGCTTTGAGTCTGTACTATACTAATTGTCTTGTTCTTTAGGCTCCAAAATTAAGAAAAACATTTAATATATAATCTTCAAAGCTAATTAATAGAAAACCGATAACATTTATATAGCCATCAAACAGAACAAATATCAAAGGTATTTGCAAAGCCCTTGGGCGACTAAATGTGTGGGATTCTGACTGAGCTGATCGTTTAAATTGGTTGGAAAATTTGAATACCTGCATTTTACGGCAGTATTAAACAAATAAATTTTTTATAAGGACGTTAATTAATAAAATATTTAGGATTCTTTGGTTTGATTATAAAATCCAGCATAAAAATTGATATTAATGACATACTTCTCCGGATTCCTTTCTAATTTTAAACAAAAATTTATTTTACGTAAATTTAGAACGCTAGGATTTTTTTTTGAACACCATTTTTTATTAGACACCTAACCATGAGACATAATGTAAAAGGAGATATTATATTTTAATTTTTGTTTAATTGGGTATTATTTCTGACACATTAAACAAAAAAAAGATTAAATTAAAATATTAAAAATTGAGACAAAAGGATTAAGGAAATAATTTTGTTTTATAAATTTAGCTTTGTTTAGACTGAGAAAAGTAGATAACTGTTCAAAATTTCATTATAGCACATTGTAAGTTAACGAAAATTTATTGTTTTCATTCTCAAAATTTTTAATGGAACTGTCTGAAAGCAAATGTGATAGATTTTTTGTTTTGCTTATGCTTTCAATAGAAATACGGGATTCATACAAAAAAAGTTTATTTTAATAAAATAAAATAGATTTTTTATCATTGCGTTCTGCCATAGTTGACTGCAAATTTTCGATTTCTCAAATTCTTATTTTTTAATGTAGTACTGATATTCCCCTATTGAAAACTTCCGCCAAGTATACTATACTGCAGTTTTTTGAATATTTAGTTTCATTTTCCAGATAAAATTTTGATAAAATTGTCCTAATATTGAACCTATTGCTTCATATTTCCTTTTAATTTTTTTATACCTATATAAGGAATGCTATTTTTATTGTATGTACCTAATTTGGTGGGCTTTGAGAATGTTTATTATTACAAAAATATTCTCTTAATAATTTTTTGGAGTTATTTTTCCATAAAAAAAACTCGACCGAAAATAAATCCAGTATACAGATCCAACAAAAATAGCCACAAATAAATAATTACAGCGGGAAATTTTACGAATATTTTTTCTAAGCTATTTGGAAAAATTTAATAGTTAGTATTTATTACTAAGTGCTATTGAACTTATATGTTCCTAGACTCGTGTTTGACACGAAATTCCCTACCACTTGCCAGTATTTGCAATTATTCTAAAGCACCATTTGCCTCTAGCCTTCTGTTTGTTTGTGTTCGCAGTTTATCAAAAGCAGACACCTCCCGGTTGTATTTTCATCCGGATAAAACAAACAGACTTGTGTTATCCCTGGCAATAAAAACAAAGATCCCGGTTTACCCGAAACCGTTGATCTGAAAATGTTCACAAGTGCCTAACTTCCTCTAAGGTCCGAAACTTTAACAATTACCCTTTACGAAACAGGAAGCCCAACTTAATTGTTGCATATTCAGAACAATTAAACCTTAATTAAGACGTGGAACAATTTCGAAGGGAGTAAGGACCTTACGGAATAAAACAGCTTCCAGTCTTATTAAACTGACGCAAAGTTTAATCTCACGTATATAATTGTGTTAACTATTCTCCGTTCACATGGTACAACGAAATATAATATTCTTGTAAGAAATAAGCGGATTAGGTAAACGTCGGTTTAAAGACCATTTTATGGTGTAGCGGGTGTCACAAACGACTTCCTGTCTAGTGAGTAACTTTAATTAAACTGTTTAAGATCTACTGTAATTTTTTTGGAAACATCAGTCGCTGTCTTTCGCCATACTTATATGACATTGGCCCCATATGACTAAGTTGAAATACAAAAAAGCGTATTTTCCATCGATCTCATTCAGGTTTATGCAACTTTCGGAGTTCCAAATACCGAATAAAAAAAATGTC